ACTTTAGATGGCTCGGAAAAGGTGAATTTTTGTGGTTTCGGCATAAATGCACTTTTCTTGCTGAGTCGTTCTCTGCTTTGTTTTCCATTCTTACATGCCGCAGCTAGATGTTGGAACCCGATTATGCACGTCTTTGACTTCGGGGGACAAGAGATATGCTCGACAGTCGAAGAATTTCAAGTGCTAATGGGGTCCCGATGTGATGAGGAAATCTTGCCTCAGCCTCGTTTTGGTCACATCCAAGCTTTGGGAAGGATGTGTGGGCTCACTTTGCATGAGGCTCGATCCTTGGTTCACAATGGAGAGCTGGACATCCCCAATTTAATTCATCGATTTTCTGACGCCGGTGACCGAGGTGATATTTTCTAGCGGGGTTTTCAGCAACACGCCCTTTGTTTGTGCATGCTAGCACACTTTCTTCTTGCCCCTAGTTTTGGCAGGTCTAGCATCCAGCTAGTTGAAGTACCCCAAGGTTTGAAAAAGGGCAAGAGTTGCATTGGTTTGGCATTGCCCGAGACTTTGATGGGCTTAGACGCCTTTCATCGACGAGAGACAACCAAATTCACGGGAAGTCCACTACTTCTTTAGGTAATGTGTCCCACCCTTTCTAATATGTGTTTCTCACATCTCTTGGCACTCATACTCTATTTTTCTCTCCCTTTTCTCTCTCTTTTCCCTCAACATACATCTCTTTATTCTTTAATGTCTCTTTTCTTTCATTCCTTTCCAAATATGGCTTACAGACAAGCTGAAGGGGGGGAGATATGATCAGTTGAAGTCGGGCATCATCCCGGTTGGATCGAATCTGCGCGACTTCACGAAAAAGGGCATACCTTTTTGCACAGAAGAAATTTTAATGCAAGGTTTGCGCCATTGGAAAGCTAACTTTCGGGGCTTCAATTTGGACACCAACCGACACTTTTTTGACCTCACCGGCCACCCATCGGCACTATGTTTATCCGACCGGCAATTTATTGTGCCGACCGGCAGGTTAAAGTAGCCGACCTGACCGGCAAATTTTGCTGGCCGACGACCTTCCGGAGCATTCTGCAGATTGAGTGTATGCCAGCTGTGCCAGCTGGAGGGCACAGAATGGATCCTCCATACACGTGTATGGAGGATATGCACCCTTGTTTAGCTTCCTCAAGAAGCTTTACACTTTGTTTTGCCTATATAGGAAGCTCTCCTCTTCCTTATACTAGGTTAGAAAAACCAGCTGGGATTGATATATACATCCCTCCATATATCTCCCACCATCTCTCTCTTTCAAGCTCAAGTATCCAAGTCCCTTGCATCATTCCTTCATCACTACCAAGCACCACCACCACTACTCCATTCCAGTAGATAGGAGTGGCTTTCCAGCAGCTAAGAGGCAACATTTTTCAGTCCTAGAGGCAGCAAAGGTTGGGTCTTCAAGGGTGAGCACTCTTCTCCCTCTTTCTAGCTCATTTCTTGCCTCATTTTTTTAGCCTCTTTGCTTGCTGTTTCGAGCTCCGACCAAAACATAAAATACCATTTTCTTGAGCTATATTCCATGTTTCGTTAAGGGCTTATTACAGTTTGAAGCTTATTTTTGGCACTTTCTTCATTACCCCTTTGTATGCCATTATTTTGCATGATTCTTTTAGCGTATGTGTGATCTGTTTTCGAGCATGTTGTAAACTGATATAAGGCTTATTTTGAGCCCCTCTTCAACATTGGAGAAGGGCTCAACATTGTTTGGTGCTTCCATGTGTCACTTGTAGTTATGTCCCTTATTTGGCCCCATTTTTGCATAAATTGGCAGCCCCATTTGCTTCTGTTTTTGGACCTTGGTCCGAACTGAAAGTGGCCTTATTTTGGCCTATACTTCATGTTTCATTAACACTTTTTTTCTGTTTGGTGATTATTTTGTATACTTCATGTTATAGCACACCGGGCTCGGCGCATTGCTTCTGTCTTCATGCTCCATGTCCATATTATGCATGCTTTGTATAGCTGTAAGCCATTTCGGGTGCCAAAAGTCCATGTTTCGGGACTATTCCATGCATCGGGTGTGTTTTCGCCTCATTCCGGGGCTGTTTTCCCCCATATTTCAGTGCTGAAATCCCATTGGCATGTTTGCATATCATTTTTCATGTCATTGCATTGCATATGCCATTGTCTCGGTTTGTGTGCCCGTGTGCACGCATTTCGAGGCACTTCATTTTCATCCATCGGCCTCTTATGTGAGTGTGGCTGAGGCTCTCTCATGTTAGTATAAATCCATGTTGCATTCTATATGTCGTTTTAGCCATTGCATTGCGTACGCCATTGCCTCGGTTTGCGTGCCCGTGTGCACGCATTTCGAGGCACTTCATTTTCATATCATGGCCTCTGTTTTAGGTCTATTTTAGAGTTGCCTAATTCATGTATAAGTCCATCTTGCCATCCATTTGCATTGCCTCATGTATGCTTGCATGCTTGCATAAGTGCTCCCCCATGCCACATCCTTAGCTTGTATGCTTAGGTTGCATTGCATTTTGCATGCATTCCTTGCCCCTTGATTTGGTGATAGGGATTAGGACTTTGGTTTGATTTGGTTTGCATTTCATTTGAAATCAAAGTTGCATACTTGGTTCTTTGGGCCATCATGCATGGAAATGCGTGATTGGTGGTCCGAGAATCGAGGCACATGCCCCTTTGAGTCATTACCATGATAAGGGACATGAATGGTGCATATATGCCTTGAATTGTGCTGCCATGCTTTGCTTTGCACTCTGTTGCTATCAATTGCAGGTTCTGTAGACATTCCTTGCCGACCGGCAGTATATATTGCCGACCGGCAGTAAACAAGCAGCCGATGGATTCATCTTGTGCCGGTGACTACACCACACTGCCGGTGGCAATTCTACTTGCCCCTTTGAGTCATTACCATGATAAGGGACATGAATGGTGCATATATGCCTTGAATTGTGCTGCCATGCTTTGCTTTGCACTCTGTTGCTGTCAATTGCAGGGACCGACAGTATATATTGCCGGCCGGCAGTAAACAAGCAGCCGATGGATTCATCTTGTGCCGGTGACTACACCACACTGCCGGTGGGGATTCTACTCAGCCGGTGGCACTCCTCAGTGTCCAAGGAAGCAGTCCTGAGGTTTTGATAGCCTTCAGAGGAGCAGAGGAAAGAAAACAGAGGCAGCCTATGCATGGCGGCGCATTTCCCGAGGCGGTTTACCTGTTTTCCTAGATTAGTTAATTTGTTAATTAATTAATTAATTTGTAATATTTAATTATTTGTTTATTATTTTGGGACTGTAATATTCATTTGGACCCTCTGAGTGAGGGTAAATATGTAATAAGTGTGGGTGAGTGTGTGTATGTCTTCCAATCCCCATTTCTTTCTTCCCTTTTATTTACCCGCTTATGATGGTAGATTAGGGCATTTTTTGAAATTAGCATACCTTATGCTATGCATGCGTGCATCCATGCATTTGTATTGCATACATTAGGCTCGGTACATCACGCTAACCGCATTTGTATTTTAAATTCTAAACCGAATATGCGATAATTGTGCATTTTCACATACCATGTTTTAGGGCTAGCCGAGCCTGCCTAGATCGCATTTTGCATGTGATGCATTTGCCACTTTTAACATGAACTAGGACATGCATGTTTGCTAACTAGTTTATTGTTTTGGCACGGAGTACTAGGTAAGCTTTTATGCTTTAGCATATCGCAATTTATGTGTTTCTTTGCATTGCATGTGCATTGGTGCGCCTAGGAACACAGTGTTTGCCATCTGCCATTCCTGAACGGTTTGCCGGAGGCTTGTCTTGTCAAGGCATGTCCGTAAGGCTGACCGGCTATGGGCTCTGACAGTATGGGAACACAAACCTTGGTTTTACCGGGGCACCCTTTTTGACCACTCGACCTAGTACATTTTCGGATCCATAGTGACCATTCCAAATTAGGACAGGCTGCTTACCCGATGTTAGGTTGTTTGAGAACCGCTGTGTGCGTAGTGAAACCCTAGCTCCTGACGAAATAGGACAGGAAAACCCTACCCCAACATAGGGGTGTTTTGGCTCTTTTTACTTGCTATGTGCTTTTAAATGATTCCCCCTTATCCACCACCAAGACATACAAACCAGGAAACTCCTCTCTAAGACAAGTATTATTACACTATTTGTCCATCCAGAATCTAACATTATTCCCATCCCCAATCTTTAACTGAAAGTTGTTCATATAAAACTCCAACAGGGCGTTATTTGACTCTGCGATGGTAATTATACCTTTCCAAATACTAGACATGGAACTAGTTGTAGAAGCAGAAGGAACCCAATCCCTGAAGTCCACTTTGTACTTACTACAAATAATTCTTCTCCACAATGCTTCCTTTTCATACCCAAACCTCCACCACCGTTTGATTAGTAAACAAGAATTTACTACCTTCACTCTTCTCAACCCCAGACCCCCTTGTTCTAAGCTTTTAGTCAGTTCCTCCCATTTGACCATATGAACCTTTCTTTTTACTTCTGATCCTCCCCAAAGAAATGAAGCCTACAATCTCTCTAACACTCTAGCTACCCCATCCGGCATTTTGAATAAAGACAGATAGTACACAAGCAATGATGCACGCGCAGATTTAATAAGAGTAAGCCTACCAGCATGGGATAAAAGTTTCCTCTTCCAGCTAGCTAATCTGCTTCTCACTTTATCCACCACTGATTTCCAGGTTGCTTTACGGCTGGGATTAGCTCCTAATGGCAGCCCTAAATATTGCAGAGGCAGCTTACTGGTCTTGCAATTCAGAATGGCAGCAAATCTGTCCAAAGAACCATCAGGAACACCTAGCCCACAAACCTAACTTTTATGGTAATTAATCTTCAACCCAAACAAAATCTCAAAACACCTTAAAATCCTCTTAAGGTTTCTAACCTCCTTATCTTCAGCTTCGCACAAAAGTAAGGAATCATCCGCAAATTGCAAATGAGACAACACCACACCCCAACACCTATTTTCACCCCTTTAATAATACCCAACTGGTATGCTCTAGATAATAACACATTTAATCCCTCAGCCACCAAGTTAAAAAGAAATGGGGACAATGGATCTCCTTGTCTAAGACCCCTTTGTGGACAAAACTCATCAGTAGGAGAACCATTAACAAGGACTGAAATACGAGCTGAAGTAACACACTACATGATCCATTTTGTCCATCTTAAACCAAAACCAATATTCAGAAGCATTGAGTGAAGAAATCCCCAATTTACCGATTCAAAGGCCTTCTCAAAGTCAAGTTTAATTATTGCTCCCTTTTTCTTCACCTTCTTCCACCCATCCACCACTTCATTCGCAATAAGAACACCATCAAGGATATTTCTCGATATATATATCAGTTCATAGTCAATTCACATGCTAATACAATTGGTTCACAACCAATATGGTTAGTTTGGCTATTATAAATCTCCTTTTTGCAGTTGATATTTTGAAAAATTCAGGACCCCTAATACCAATTCGTATTCCAATATTCTCGACACCACTACACCGCAGGTAATACTAATTTATATCCTGATACTGCTATTTAAAACTTTGGCTACAAGGCATATATATCAAGCAATATTTAAAACCATCCCTCACCTGCCCACACACACCCATAATTCTCTTATAATGTTGTACTAACTAATAGTGAATAGCTTAAACACTATTCAAGTTTATAAGAACTCTCAAATTAGGTCTATCTTGTGACCTGTAAGTGAAGTTACATCTAGAAGTGATTCCATCTCTACCTTTATAACTCTATGCAACTTTGTGTGTCTTTGCCAATTACAGGACATGTTTATTGGAGGAACTGATACTACTTCAACAGCCATAGAATGGGCAATGACAGAACTAATAAAAAATCCCACTAAGTTGAAGAAAGCTCAAGAAGAGGTAACATTTTTCCTTTTTCAACAGATAAGCATATTAGCTCTATCATCATTTCAACGGATATGTATGAAAGCTATATCCCACATTCACAGATAAGCATATAAGCTATCTTCACATTCTCAACAGATATATATAACAACTATATCCCACGTTCACAGATAAGCATATAAGCTGTATCTACACTTCACAAAGATAAGCATATGAGCTCTATCTTCACTTATCTAGACAAGCATATGAGCTGTATCTACGGAGTTCATCCCCTATCTTCTCCCAATACTATCCGGTTTAGAGCTACATCCCCCATCTTCCCCTAAACCACGGAGTACATCCCCCATCTCCTCCTCTACACATAACGTGTACAAACACATTGGTTCTATACACCATCATTCAATACATACAGTTAATGTATTCTATCAACCGTCAAATTCCATGACACATTCCACTGATTAGTTTTCATTTGCCTAATCATCATGCATTGTCTACAACAATCACGACTATCCTCCACCGATAGCCCAAAGTAGTTATTTCTAAACAGAAAATAAATGCACAACTGGATATTCAATCAACATTTCAATTCGGTGAGTGATAAATAATTCAACTACACCCTTTAACCCCATACATTCCCAATCTCAACATTTCTATTTCATAACCTCATTTCTCACGATTAATTAACCCAATTAATCAAACAATGTAATTAGGGCATTTTCCATAATTAACATTACAACCCTTAAGGTCCCATTTCCATCAATGATTCAACGTTTATTCCATTTCTCTATGCCAAACATGCATCTAGGTTTATTATAAATAAAACCCCAACTTTTGTAAAATTACACAAAAGCCCAAACTTTCACAAAATTACCAAACCAACCCCAACATCTCAAAATACTAAAATTTAAAGACATAATCCATAGAGAGGAGTAGGATATCCCTACCTCAAATCCGGAGCCCCAAGGGAGAAGATGACAAAACCCAACGTGCTCCAAATCCCGAAATTTCCAGATTAAAATATAGCCCTCGACGATCAACAACTTTTTTGTAAAGGCCAAAGATGAGCAAACCACTCCTACTAGATCAAAACCTAGAGAGAAGATAGAGCTCTAGAGTGAGAGGCTCAACAATGGTGTTTTTTGGAAAAGTAGGAGAGAGAAGAGAAGGTGAAAAAGTGATTCAAAAATGCCCAGCTGCCCTCTGTTATACGACATTCCCGCTCGAGCGGAAATCACAACGCTCGAGCGTCAGAAACACAAATCTGGACACGCTCGAGCGCAATAAGACCCGCTCAAGCGCCAAGACACAGGAATAAAATGCATCCGCTCGAGCGAGAAAACAACTCCGCTCGAGCGCAAATCTCCCTCTCCCAGAATCCTCACCAAGACAGTACTACACGCTCGAGCGCCAACAATCCCGCTCGAGCGCCACCCGCTCGAGCGCAGAAAAACCCGCTCGAGCGTAGAAAACTCCTCTGCAGAAGTTTTGCAGGGACACAAAAAAAAACTAGGAGTGTGCAATCTCCGCTCGAGCGCCAGAACGCCCGCTCGAGCGCTAAACTAGAAACCAAACTCCGCTCGAGCGCAGGATGACCCGCTCGAGCGTAACACCAAAAACCTGGGCAACAAGGATATAGACCAAGGCTTTATCCACCTGTTCAACACAAGCCCAAAAACATCCTAAAACTCAAACAACGGATTTAAAGGATAGCAACACGATAGATACAACTACCAACATCCACGGACACATGTCCGGATCACTATACAACAAGGGTAAATTCGGGATCGCTATATGATTGAGTTTCACTGATAACACAAGGGAGCACAGCTTTTAGCCTTTTTGCCAATAACTTTGTTAGAATTTTATACACCGAGCCAACAAGGCTAATAGGCCTAAAATCAGAGAGACCCACAGGATTCTCCTTTTTAGGAACAAGAGTGATGAAAGAATTATTCAAACCCTTCACCAATCTACTATTCTTATGGAAATCCTTGAAAAAATTAATCACATCCCCTTTCATCACCTTCCAGAATTTTTGAAAACAAAGAATATTGAAACCATCAGGCCCAGGAGCCTTATTACCATCACAATCCTTCACAGCTACCTTAATCTCTAACTCTGAGAACTCTGCCTCAAGCATTTCAAACTGAGGACTGGTTTGAGAAGATTGTTGTTAATCCCATGCCTATTCCTGAGAAGGGTCTTCCCATTCAACTATTTCCCTATTAATTAAATTAAAAACTTAAATGCATTAGCTGCGCTCAACTCGACTCAACTCAATAAAGTCTCTACCTTCGATGATTCTATCACAAACATTTCTCTAGCCATACATAAGCCAAGCTTGTACCTAAACTTTTTCTTTTTTTAATTTCTTTCTTGTATTTGTCCTTATATTATTTACCTTATGTAGTTTTGTTATTATAATGTGTTACTTCATTAAGATTGTGTATTTGACCAGTTTTAGTTATGTAGTAACACCAATTTTAGTAGTAATTAATTTTTAATAAGGCACATACAAAAGTTGAGGTCTTATTTGAATAACATGATCAGCTGAAACGCAACTATTGATTTTGAAATTGCATATATTATTGTATTTCAACACTTGATGTTATGGTGGTTTAGAATCATCACCATCATTTGGAAAAACAAATGTTTAATATGTTTTATGGTTTGTTAGGAAATGGATTTTGTATTTCAGCTCTTATTGAGCTGTTACAATAATTATTGGTGAATACAATTTCCACTTATTGTGTATTATTTTGGGTGGTTCAGACTTCATTATTAGTAATTTTCTTGTTTTGCTGATTAGAGAGTTCTATTGTACTTGTGGTTGTGTGCTTTTGTTGGATTCGCACTAATTTTATTTTATTTTATTTTATTTCTTGTTTTGGTTAAGGGTTATTATCCATAGTTGTATTGCCTCGATGTATTTGTAATTTTTTTTTATAATCAAAGCAGGTTATATGACAAGTCCCAAACTCACCCAAGAAAAAGACAAGCCCACAAGAGATGAGATGAGTAGAGTGTCCAATCCATTTACTGGAGTTTGGTTTGGCTTTTAAAACCTATTTTTTGAAAGAAATTTTAAATAATTAAAAAATAATATGGATCAACTCATCATTTTCATTTTCATATTCATCTTCAGAAAACTGATTCAAACATAGTTGACCAAATTAATCTCATAACTTGAAGTAAGTAAGCAAACACTAATATGATTTCGATTAATGATTTATTCACACAATTTTTTCCTTCTCAATCTGCCCAAATGAGACTCTTACCGGTTAGGGTTTTTTGTTTCAAAAAGTCTTAGTAGTAAGAATCTCAATTATGTAAATTCGAGTTGTAAAAATTATGTGAATACAACGGGGTTGTATTCAATTTATTTATTAGTTTTTGCATCTCAATAAAAGCTAATAGTTTAATTTTATTTATCCACGTGAAATGATACTATATGCACTAAATAATAAACAAATTAGTATATTAACCGATGATGTGGCATAATGTTAAAAGTTTTAGATATTTATGATTTGTATAATGAGATTAATAATAATATCATAACATATGTTGGTATATTAATTAGTGCATGTAGCACCACTGTATTTTTGTGTGTGTATTTGTTAGTGTCTCATATAATTACTAATACGAATTTGTGTAAAAATATCTATATAATAAAACAGGATAGTTTTTGAATCTTCAACATATTTTTGTTCTACTATGACATTTGGATAGTTCAGATCTGTTCAAATTATAAAATAATGACTGAGATATATTTTTTCGAAAAAATATTTTTCATATACATTTTCTACTTTCTCACTTCTCTCTCTTACTTTTTCCTTTTGTCACACATCATTCCATGATCCCATGATCCCACATTCCTTTCTTTTTTTTTTCTCCCGTTTTTATTTTTATGTCTATTTGTTTATTTTTTTTTATTTTCTCCTTTTTGTTTAATATATTTTACACATATATGAAAGTGGTGATTTTATCCTGCCCTGAAAAATTTTCAGAATATATATCTTGCAAGTAAAATTTTAAATACATTACTTATACAACTCTAAAATTCATATCAATCTACAGAATAATCCATAAACATGTTATGGTCATTTTTCAGAAAGCATTTTCCAAAAATAAATTATAAATAATTCTTGAAAATTCCAAGAGTGTTTACGACACAGATTTATCACATTTTCTTAAATTAATTCCATATTTAAATTTATAAATCAATTCCATGATCTAAAAATTTATTATGAAACTAGACTTCTCAAATTTCATTGTTTTGCGTAGAAATTATCAGATTTGGTTTAATATAAAAATTTTAATGATTTTTCAAACACATAATAAAATCTGCCTATAGCTCCAGATTTGGTTAAAAATATGTATAAATTCGTAAAAACTAAAGTATTACATGTTAACGACAAAAGCAAATGCCCTAAAGGCTTACAGCTTTCCAAGTTAACACTTGGTTACAACAAAAGAGTACTAACTCATTTACACACTTTTATGTAAAGCTTGAACATTTAAATTGGTTTTAATACATTTATAATGGACACGGTAAATTAAAGCAATATTATGAGTTTTTTCTTTCATATTAGTAAATGAACCATTTAATTGAATATTTAAAGTTAATGCATCTAATATGTGTGGATCTCTAAGACTGAGTGTGAAATCAGGAAAACAATTAAAATGAATAGGTCCTTTGTGAAGACCAGTTTCCACCATATCCAGTAAGCAAGTGATAACAACATAACGTGGCTCTGATACCAAAGGGACGTTATGTTGTTATCTCTTGCTTACATATATATATATATATGAGTTCATCCTGAGGGTCTCTCTCTCTCTCTCTTACTCTCTTTCTCTCTCTCATCATTCTATCACGTCAAATTGAATTTTCCAATACCAAGAGATATAATAAGAACATATATCCTAGAATAACATGCATGCATCTAAGTGTCAC